TACTTTAATAAAAATCCGAGTTCTAATAATACAATAGGATGCAGTTCTCTTCAAAAATTAAACACCGCTGAATTTACCAATAAGGACCGTGCTGGCCATCTACAAATCTCGATCACGCGTTTTTATAGTGTTTGTTTTGGTCCGTTAGTTAAATATTAAGAATGTAGTGTTGATTTCACTTGACATTTGAAATTTCCTGAAAACCTACATTTTTACTTCATTGCCAAATATTACACATTTTTTTCTTTGTTAAAAACCAGTTTATTTCAGCTGCTTTTTTTGGAAACATGCGCCAACGCCATTTGACCTACTAACCAAGTCGGCAGACTGAAAATTGCATAACTGAAAATTGCACAAGGTACCCTTGTTTACTTATTTACATTGGATTCAATTTCATTAAACGCTATGACCTTCACTCTCTTTCTTTAATGCATATTTGTCAATCCAAAATAAATAGGAAACATTAACACAGTCCAAGATATTCTTTAATGTTTGTCTTTTTCGTAAATATTTAAGTATTTACCTACTTATAATTAACCAATTAGATAAATTTAACTATTCAATTTGTAATAGGATGTAAACAAGTTGTTAAGATTAGAAATTAATTATAAACTTTTAAATTGTTTGATAAAAGCACAGATTTAGTATAATATTATGTAGAAGCATGCTATGTATATTTGCAATTTAATATATTTATCTTCAATCTGTCTATAATTCAACCTAATTGTTGCCAACACTCGACAATTAATTAAGTGAATGATTATAAACTGACCACAAATAATTTGGACTAATAATTATTATAACAATTATTGTACCACAAACCGCAAACCATGATACAAAGATTGGTTGCAAACTACTAGTGCTAGGCTAGTGATTCATTACACAGCCACACAAATTTTTTTTTTTGTTTTGATCTGGGTGTCTGACCATATTTCTTCTATGTTTTTGGGGTCGCTGAATCCGAATCCAGGGTCTATTTAACCCCATCACATCAGGATTTTGACATAACCTCAAAAAATCTATAATTTAAGCTATTAAACGCATATAACCCTAAACATTAAGTTGTTGTCTAAAAACCCAAGCTCCTAAACCCTATAAGCCTAAAACTCACTTAACTCCATAACCCCATGACCCACTTAACCCCATCATCTATTTAAACATATAATCCTTAGGATGAAATTGTGATCTGAAAACCCAAGCTATTAAACCCAATAACCATTTTAACCCCATCCCATAAACCACTTAAACCCATAACCTTGTAACCCATTTAACCCCATCAACATCAATTCCAACAGTTCCTTATGTCAGACATTTAGCTTTGAAGAGACTAAAGTTATGCGGTTATTAAAATAACGTACATATTAAGTTAAATATCTGACAAACGTGGTTGATGTACATTGAGTTATGAGGTTAAATGGGTTATGGGGTTATGGAGTTATGTGAGTTATGAAGTTGTGATATTTAAGAGCTTGGATTTTTATATTAAAACCACTTTCTCAGGGTTATATATAGTAATAGCTTATATGATGGGTTTTTTAAGGTTATGGCAAAATCCTGATGTGATGGGGTTAAATAGACCTCGGATTCGGATTCAGCGACCCCAAAAATATATAGAAAATATGGTCAGGCCCCCAGATCAGAACACAATTTTTTTTTTGTGTTTTGATCTGGGGGTCTGACCATATTTCTTTTATGTTTTTGGGGTCGCTGAATCCGTATCCAAGGTCTATTTAATCCCATCAAATCAGGATTTTGACATAACCTCAAAAAATCTATAATTTAAGCTATTGAACGCATATAACCCTAAATATTAAGTTGTTGTCTAAAAACCCAAGCTCCTAAACACTATAAGCCTAAAACTCACTTAACCCCATAACCCCATGACCCACTTAACCCCATCATCTATTTAAACATATAATCCTTAGGATGAAATTGTGATCTGAAAACCCAAACTATTAAACCCAATAACCATTTTAACCCCATCCCATAAACCACTTAAACCCATTGTAACCCATTTAACCCCATCAACATCAATTCCAACAGTTCCTTATGTCAGACATTTAGCTTTGAAGAGACTAAAGTTATGCGGTTATTAAAATAACGTACATATTAAGTTAAATATCTGACAAACGTGGTTGATGTACATTGAGTTATGAGGTTAAATGGGTTATGGGGTTATGGAGTTATGTGAGTTATGAAGTTGTGATTTTGGATTTGGATTTTTATATTAAAACCACATTCTCAGGGTTATATATAGTAATAGCTTATATGATGGGTTTTTTAAGGTTATGGCAAAATCCTGATGTGATGGGGTTAAATAGACCTCGGATTCGGATTCAGCGACCCCAAAAATATATAGAAAATATGGTCAGGCCCCCAGATCAGAACACAAATTTTTTTTTGTGTGGCTGTGTTATTTACCAGAAATATCTAACCCCACTTTAGCGTAGCCTTCAAAGACTTACTTCTTATGTCCAAATGTTTTTTTTTTAAATAAAAAGTTCTTATAAATGTATATTTCAAATATTATTTTAAAAATTATTAAAAAATATTAATATAAAACTAGTCTAAAAAATATTTAAACATGAGTTCTGGGAAAATTTTTAGTAAAAATATCTTTCTACATCTGTTACTCAAACCCAGGACACCCTGTATACCGTTTACTTAATTTGAATCCCAAACTGATTTAACAACTAATAAAAATGCTTACTGGTGGTCGTTAACTTATATAGGGTGTCCCGAAAATAGTGTGCAATACTCTTCAGGTGGTAACTAAAGACAACAATAGGAAGAAATCTTCTTATTAATATAGGTCGGCCCCTAAGGGAGTTGCAGCATCTTAAAGGAGCGCCCCTGAAGATGGTCTTTTATTATTATTTCCAAAACAGTTTAAGATAAATTAATGAAATTTTGTATGCTTACTTAATTTTTTATACTGAATTTAAAAGTAAAAAACAAATTTTAAAAATGTTATTAATGAGTGTATGAAACAACAGCAAGTTGGCTGAAGAATATAAAAATATAGAGTTTTCTACGTTAAAAAGGTAGTATTGTTGAACATGGATGAAATGAAATAAAAATTAAAAAAATACATAAATTTCACGAAAATACATTAAATAATAATAATAATAATATTTATAAAATTTGTATAAAAATAACTCTTGTTAAATAAAGTTGGGTCTTTCCATCTCAAATGGAAGGTCGTTATTTTTCAACGAAATTTTTTTACAGTTTCTCTACCGAAATCGTTGAGACCCGTATTTTTTCTTTTTGCTTGAATTTGTTTTATTCACCCGTAAGAAATTTTAAAAAAATGGACAGAATTTTTTTTTACGAGTGATATTTGTTCTTGAAAATGCGATAACTTGGCCAAAAATGTTTCGATCGGTAAATATAAAATATAAAAAATTAAGTGAATTTGCTGAACTTTTTTTAAATTGTTTTTTTTAAAAGGCAAAACAAAATTGAGTTCAAATTTTTGACATTGCCACATTTTTTTTACTTAATATTTTTTTTGTTTGAAGTTATGAACAATATGAACAACTTTCACCAACAGTCCCGAGTTGGATAAATTAGTCGTTTCGGAATTATTTTTTTTAATGAAAATGCCACATTATAGTAAATTCGTTGTTCATCGCAAAAATTTTTATTTTATCTGGAGTGACATTTATAAAGTGTAATTTAGAACTTTTTGACATACGAGGTGTGTTTAGAAAATAACGGGAATTTTTAAATTTCGCTCTTAGTAAGTAAATTAAATTATTAAAGAGTAAAGTGGAAATTCTTATTATTTTTGCATTTGTTACTTTTAAAAGATATCTTTTACATATGTAAAACGTATACATAAATTAATTTTTGTTCAAATAATAAATAGTAAGTATCACATACCTAAAAGTAATGAATCGAATGCATAAGAAACTTATAAAAACGCTATTTTAAAGAAATGTAGAATACAAACAATTTCGAAAAATTTTGGTCGGTTAACAGATGAGTGAGGCAGTCGCAAAACTTTTTTTGAATGAGGCAGGAAAATAAGTATTAAGCCTAAGAGGTCCAGAAACTAATGCGCAGGTTAATTATGTTTAGAAATAACAAATTTTTATTTCATTTAATATTTAGTTTTTTTATTTATTGCCAGAGATTCCCTACAATGGCCACACTATGAGGCGGTTGGATATAACTTTTTATAATCGATTCAAAATATTTGAATGATTTTATTTAGTAGTTTTAAAACCAAAAAATGTTGAGCCTCTTTGATTTTAACCACCTCAATTATTATTTTTATATTATTTCATAAAAAGTTTTAGCGTATGTTTTCATAGTAAAATAAAATGTTAATATTCACTTATCAGCAAAACAAACTATCGAACTGTCAAATCTGATACTTATTTTAGACATAAAGGTTTCAAAGCCTTCTTAATTTATTTACTTCTGTACACACTTTAAAACCTAATATACATTCAAATTTAATCAAGGCACTGATATAGAAATAAAATGTAATCAAAAAATTATTTTACCTGTCAAAAATTGACAAATGACATATGTATGTATTCACAATTTTATTTTTAATCGAAATAAATAAAAATGCATAGGGATTTTTATTAAAAAATTAAGATCATTTCCGTTGAAACCGGAAGTGGCAAAAATATGTTAAATATGTCATTGAGGTGAAAATCCCAGTTATATTATTATTTTAATAATATAACTTAATTTAGCAATAGCTATTTTCATATAAATTTTAAATACACACATTAAATAAATAAAATATTCTTAAAAATTTGTTTTAACATAGTTTATACACAGTTTTATAAAGATTATTAAATTATCACATATTTTTATATCGCTTGGTAAATTATTCTAATAGTATAAAATCTTTAGGGGCGCCCTTTCAGGGTCTCTTTAGGTCCCTTAGGGGACATTTGCCGACCCATGTTCATATAAAGTTTTCTTTACATAGTGCATAAATGTAAAAAATAATACTTTTTTTCTTTTTTTCTTAGGTCTATGGTGGAACAGGGTCTCCATTTGGTTTCCGGTGTAGCAACCAATTGTATGTGTGTAGGGTAAACGAAGAGAATGACCCCATGCTGGAAATTCAAACAACGGGTCAATGGCCTTTGCCGTTGTACGGCCAGGCGCTAGTTCACCATAACGACTATCTCTACACGATAGGTGGCACCACCGGTCTCTCTTACACATGTGATATTCATAGGTAACGCCATCTATGTGCAGTTTTAACCGTTTAGTTTAAACCAATAAAACATAATTATTTGTTAGATTATATATGAAGACAATGACTTGGGAGATAGTGTACCTTTGCAGCGGCAAAGGTGACTACGAGCCCGAGGGTAGATACAGACACGAAGTGAGCTTCGACGGCAAGCAAATCTACGTACTGGGCGGCGGGACCGCAGACACGGCGTACGATTTGCAGTGCATACCCACCTTTAATGTCGAGAAGAAATGCTGGAAAAAACTGCCGACAATCAGGGACCCACACAAAGGTAAGCATTTAAATATATACTGTTTTATTTTTAACAATGGCCAATCGTGGGTATCAATCAATGTTAAGAATATTGACATTAAAAAAAAATCACAAGCATAGACAATTATTGGAAGGTTACATTGCTCAATGAACATTGAATGTTTGCACAATTTCATTGAGCAATGTAACCTTCCAATAATTGTCCAAGCTTGGGATTTTTTTTAATGTCAATATTCTTATAACCAAATTAGATATTTTGGCAAAGGTTACAAAAATTATATTAATTTGTAGTATTTTATAGAACTTTTGGAAATGTCCACTCTAAGCCTATAAGGGTGATTCTACAAAAGTTGGGCAACTTTTGACCTCATTTTGTTTTCAGAGATAATTAAACAGTATAGATAGATAATATAATAAATATATTGTTCCAGACCGGGCCAGTCACTTTTTTAAACAGTTTCTAAATTTGAATGCAAGGGAAGTGACGAGTATACCAGGGTACTAATAAAATACATAATTTATTGGAAAATATAAGATTTATTGCAACTTTGTGCATATTATACGTTAAATATCTTAAAATCAAATAATACCACACATCAGTGACAGCTGGTGGATTTTGGGTATACCGATATCTCAATTATTAGATATGGGACCCACACCAAATTTATATGAGTTTATAATGACATTAAATAAACATGTTTGCGAAAAAACGATAACCGAAACATCGAACATGGAACTGACGACACGGTACTGATGAATGGGATACAAATTTGAGATTATAATTCGGAATTAAGTATTTTACTGATATTTTCAACTTATCAACAAATCACATATAGCCTTACATAAATTTCAATGAAATATATATACGTAAGAAAATAACTACTCACCACAGTACTGAAATTTTGACTGGAACTATACGTGCATTCGCCGCTTGCATGTTTTCAAGATGACTGTCGGGCAAAGAACGTACTTTTGAAAAAATACATTAAAATTGGGTGGACAAGTTAAAAAAACCTGGATCTTTTGTAATAAATATACTAAAATATTTACAAAAAATATTAAAATACCTACTCTATTGACTGATGACATCAAGTTGTCCAACTTTTGTAGAATCACCCATAAATAGAAATTTAGACAAAAATATTTTTTTGTTCTAATTCTTTTGTGCTTTTTATTAACGAATTTTCTTTAAATTATTTCGAGTTGATTTAATATTAATTATGATTTACATAAGAAGACTTTTGAATGAGTGACTAATTATGAAATGATTTAAATTTGACGTCACGATGACATCAATTTGACATAACGCTGATGTAATAAGGACGTTCAATTGTTTAGTTTCGTAATAAGTAAAACCATAAATAATTACTTTATTCGTCTTAAATTTTACTATCTTATAGCTAGCAAAACAGTCTTGTTAACTTCTAGTCTATATAAATTTTTATTTTTCAGTACTTACTTCTTTCATTCCACTATATAATCCTTCCATTTCTATTATCAATGATCACACATATGTATATAGCCCTTTTAATATTCTTAATATGCACATAATTTAAATACCTATAATTTTATGCAACAAATTTGATTTATATTTCTGACATATTTGACAATATATAAATTTTGATTTTACGGGGTGGGGCTTGTTTTTGAATATTCCGAATTTTATCCCCCCACCGTTCTAAAAAGTGATCAAGATATTTAAAATAAAAATTTGTATAAAATTAACATTAACACATACCTTAGAGCATTTAAAAATTTAAATGGCAAAACATGTATTCTTTTATACATCCTTCTATTCACACTTTTCTTAACTAAACAACTTATAAGTACGATAAGAAGCCATTTTTTTCGAATTTTAAAAATCATATCTACCCCGCTGAGACTATTAGAATATATTCGAAATATTGAAAAAATACTCTTAACGGCTACCCCGATGATTTTATAAATGGTATCATAATCATAAACTTTGCAAAGTTAATCTTTTTTTAATAAATATTATGATTTTAAAAAAAGTGTGCGGCACGTGTTAATGTCAATCGATTTCTCTAAAGTTTGATAACTTTTTAGTCCGGGGAAAAATAAGCCCACTTTAAAATATACAAGGTGTCCCTAAATTTAGGAAAAGATTAAGCAAGTCAAAATAAGACGAAAACCTAAATAATAGTATATTCTGTTTGGAATACAGCATATTCCGCTCGAGTGAAGAGTTTGTCACACGAGCCGAAGGCGGTTTTACGAGAGCGGAATAAGCAATTCCAAACGTGTTTCAGACTATACTTTTTCTACGTTTCCAAAAAATACCATAGAAAAATAATTTAATTGGAAGAAAGTGAGGTTGGATCGGTCTAAAATTTGTTAGATATTAAAAACAGAGATGTCGCCACGAGTGTTTATTCTGTCATCAGATGATAGAATATTTCATTCTGTAACACTTTACGGAATATATGTCATTCCATAGATAAAAGTGATATTAGAAGGGTCAAATTCCGTATTAGGAGTAGAAAAAAATATTTTTCCTAATAACTTATATTTCCAAGATACAGGGTGATAAATGTTACTTATAATATCAGTTTTTTTAATATAACTTCTACTATGGTAGACTTGAAAAGGTGATATTTTAAGAACATATCGTAGAAACGAGGGTTAGCTTAAGCTTAGTCCCATACATACTTTAAGGTTAGGTTTTAATAACTTTTGATGCAAATTTTTGATTACTCAGTTCGGCTACTATTAAAAAACTTCGATAAAATAAACCGATTCCGAGATATTCGAGATTACAATAATTGTTATATCGCATTAAAGGATTCAAAGGTATATGATAACAAATTTTATTTTTTAATTAAAAAAACTAAAAAGGGCGTTTTTTGAGCCGCGAGAATTTTTGCCCCGACCGTCACATTTAAAAAATGTGCTTATAACAATAATATTGTGAAATAAATTTCTAATAATTTTAATTGAAAATTTTGATTGTGACGGTCGAGACGGAAATTCCTGAGGCTCAAGAAATGCCTTTTTTAGTTTATTCAATTAAGAAATTAAAATTGCTATCATATACCTTTTAATCCTTTAATGCGATATAACAATTATTGTAATCTCGAATATCTCGGAATCGGTTTATTTTATCGAAGTTTGAGAGGTATTCCCTTAAAACGCAAATTATCGTACATGTTTCCATGACACCTTTTAAATACACATTGAAAAGTTGTGGCTTTATGGCGTTTTAGTCACTGCTGAAGTTAGTATTAATTTAGTTGACAGTTGTCGAATGTCATACGATCGTTAAAATAAAGTGCCTTTCTTGTTAAATAATACTAAATGTGAAAATTATTTTATTATTTAAATACAATAGTATATTATGTATCAAGTTTGATAAACGCCATTTGGGCACGAGCGAGCTTGCGAGCGAGTGCTTAAATTAATGAGTGTATAGAAACGTTTATAAACGAGGTGCATACTTTACTTTTTCTACTAAAAATACTTATTATTATCTTAAAATGATTTAAATCAAAAATTTGTATAGAGCGCCATCTATGAAACAAAAGGGGAATCTGTGTGTCACCGTCAAATGTCAAATTTTTATATACTTTATATAGACAATTATAAAGGTTCGAAATGTATTTCTTGAAAATTGACAGTTTTTCACAGTGAAAGTAAAGAAAATGGTTTATGAGCACTTTACAGTGGAGTCCGTGTCCGAATTTAAGTTATAGTTTACTGTCGGCGAAATTAAAAGGTCAGTACAATGATCATAAAGACTTTTTAAATATTGAGAAACTATTGAATACTTTTGTATTTTTGTATTGAGATAATAAAATAATTTTCACATTTAGTATTATTTTACAAGAAAGGCACTTTATTTTAACGATTGTATGACATTTGACAACTGTCAACTAACTTAAAACTAACTTTAGCCCGTGACTAAAAACCTGTTGCTAACTTCGAACCGTGACTAAAGCGCCATAAAGCCACAACTTGTCAATGTGTATTTAAAAGGTCACTTAGTGTCATGGAAACATGTACGATAAAGGGCGTTTTAAAGGTGGGAGTAGAAAAAAGTATTAAATAGTGTCTCAACGCCAATATTTGAAAAGTTTTCATTCAGGCTCGGACTCCACTGCAAAGTGCTCATAAAACATTTTCTTTACTTTCACTGTGTTGTTAATCCATTTTCAAGAAATACATTTCGATTTATAACCTATATAATCTGTGTTTATAACACATAAAAATTTGACATTCGACGGTGACACAGATTCCTCTATTGTTTTATAGATGGCGCTCTATACAAATATTGTTTATAAAGTTTTCTATACACTAATTAATTTAAGCACTCGCTCGAAAGCTAGCTCAAGCCTAAATTAAATACGTGTATAAAATGGCGTTTATCAAACTTGATACATAATATACTAATTTTTTAGTTATTTTCTAATAAATACGAAAGTTTTCATGAATTTCAATTATCCAAAGTCATTTTTTCTCAGGTGTGCCAGCCCCACGACGTTGCCACGGCACAGTCCAAATAAATAGCGACCCGGGCGTGCAGGTGTTCGTCACGGGCGGCCACGACGGCGAAAACGTCTTCAACGACCTCTGGCGGCTAGACTTGGCAACGATGCAGTGGACCTGCTTCGACTTCTGCCAGCTCCCAATCAGAACGTATTTTCACGCTACTGCCGTATCGCCAGAGGGCAGGATCTACGTTTTCGGCGGGATAAACACAATAAACGACAACGTTGTGAGAAATAACTTGATTTATTCGACCTGGTTGTGTATCCCGAAGCTTAGCGAAATGTGTTGGGAGGCGGTGTTGCATTATAGTCCCAATATAGTGAAATCAAAGCAGGAAGATTTGATCGACATTGGGTTGCCCAGGCATTTTATACAAAGACTAGGCAAGAAGGACAAAACTGCAAAGAGTGCCTAAATTTAAGTGTACAAATTGTTTTATTTACCAACATTAATTGCAGTTAATTACCACGATTACCAACTCTAGTCACTAATGAAGTTTTTGGGTTGGTTTTTTATTGCAATACAGAAATACTCTATTAATTTATTGAATTTACAAAGAATGTATTATGCATACATACATGTATACATATATGTAATTCCCTGAAATATATGATTTATCGCCGTTTATGTTTGATTTTTATTTAATAAAACTAATTAAAAGACATACATATGTTTTATTTTAACATTTTTATGAGAAAAATTCTTTTAAAGGTAGTATCTCCATTTGAAGAGTTTACATAGAATGTCTTCAAAATTTAATATATGATTTTATAAGGCACATTCACAATTTCAGATTTTTTTACAGCACCAATTGCATGAAAATAATTTTTTAAGTTACATTAAACAAATTTTGTTTTATACGCCATTTGTTTATTTTGCATCTCACGAGCTTGCCTATGAGATTTCCATACAAACATAGACTAAAATAATCACTAAATATTCCTATTTTTTCTCGACTTTGGAAACTAATTTTTATATATTCTATGGGAAATTTGTGGGACCAGAGGTCCTCCTTTGATGAGGACAGTCCTCCTTTGGCCAGTTTTGTCCTCCTCTATGATAGTGTCCTTATTGTTCCTCCTTTTGAATGATAAAACACCTATTTGAAATATATTTTTGTGGTTTGGCTCTTAGTGGTTAGACAACACATGCCATTTTTTAGACTGGGCTAGAAACAATAAAAACGTCGAAAAGAAATGTCTTGTTGCAACTTTTAATTATTTTGGTAAAAATTAGTACCAACCATGTAAAAATTTAAAAAAAATTATTGCTACAATGACAATTATTATTCTATTATAGTAAAGCTCATCGAATCTTTGCTAAAGAAATAACTTCTAGTCGAAAGTATACTTAAAAACTAAATATATGACAGTTCATTTTTTTTTATCTGGACTCATGTTTTTTTGTTAGGTTGGTGGCTTTCCACCATATATCCATTGGACGTCCAGCGGACGACCATTGTACATCCAGTCCAATGTAAGTCCATTTGACGTCCAATGGACATCTTGTGCTGTATGGGTTATGTCAGTTTGACTTGGTATTTTTAGTATTTAAAAATGGAAATTCTGCTAAAGAATTTAATTAATTACTTTGACACTGTCAAATTGACAATAATATTTATTATTGATCATTTACTTGTCAATTATAAATAAAAAGATAATTATGCCAAAAATAATAGCATTCGACTTCGAATGTAAAAGCCCTTTTGAGGGCAAAACTTCATTTTGATAAAATTATGCCAAATGCCACAATGGAAGAAAAAGTACATCACCTTATGGACATTTTTGGAGTAAAAAAGTAACGAATTTGGTTTTATAAAAATTACATCACACATTATTTTCACATTATTCACCATTGGACAACATTTACGTTCACAAAAAATTTTAATTTCTTTTATATAAAATCTTTTCAAAGCGAAGATTATTATCCGCTAGGAATACTTTGTCTCTCCTGGGCCGTAGTCACCTATATTTAACTACTTATTTATATGATTTTACTCATCCAAGCACCACCAAAGCCAAATTACAACTCAACTTGACAACTGCACAATGTAACCTACAATAATTTATACATAACCACAATTAGATTTATAACTAGTTTGTTTTAATCAATGCGACCAACTTGACAACTGTATTTACCAACCAAAACCCTAAATTTGCAACGTTGCCGCAGTCCAGATAAAAAAAAGAACTTTATGCGAGTCAAAATAATAAAATTTTAATACATTATAAATAAAACCATTTTAAAATGGATAGCAAATAGAAATACAAAAATACATGACAAAATTTGTTAATTTAATTAACAATTTATATTGTTGTTAATTTTTTATGTTGTTTTTAGTTTTTAATAATACTTTAATTTGTATGAAATAATTAATTTGTAAATTAAAATATGTTTTATTTTTAGTAAAGTGGCACTGTTCAATTTGCTGTCACTACCTTAAAATTGTTGTAGCGTAATTTTAAATGTTTTTATCAAATTGAAGCATAGAGGAATAAGGAGGATTTCTTATTAGTAACACAATTAAAGTAAAATTATTTTATTGTATATAATAAAAAAATCACAATATTTGAGTATAAAAAAGGAATGTAAAGAATTGCACGAACAAAGGAAACAATACAATGGAATGAATATTATAAATACAACCGATAAACTGATATAATGGAGTACAAAAATTACCTAGGTATGTATACTTAAACATTAAATTGAGATCTTACAAAATAATCTTACACACAATCAATAGACATGTTTTTTATACAAAAAATAATAACATAAAAAGCATTTTTAGGCACAGGATTTTTAAGAGTTTTAAAACTAGCAAAAATATCATGGCTTACTTAAGTCTTCTCCTCTGATGGCTAAATAATCTACAAAGAACTAGTTTAAATACTACATTTAATTAATTAATTAAATACAATTAATATACATACAAATTGTGGCAGTTCATTGAAATAAATAATTTATTAATTTAGAGGTTTTGATTTTTTTTAACTAGCCAAAAAATGTATCTGTACAATTATTAAAAATTGCTTATTACTGAACAAAGTCTGAATTTAAAATATCACATTTAAGTTTACAAAATTAAAATCAATTCGCTAACTAGTTTTATACAATATTTTTTTATAATAACTGTACTATTTTGAGTTTAATAAATATATTTTAATAATAATTACACTTTTTTGATGATATAAAATGCTGGATACTAAATAATATTATTAATGAAAATATGGCACCCAAAAATGGCTGTTGATATTGGGTTGATAACATTTTAAAACCTAATTATTAAATTTTGAAATTGATTAATTAAAAAAGGCACATATCTTAAATTTTCTATTCACGCCAAAAAGTTAGTTAAATTTAACATATGGGATCTGCTTGACATGTTAAATTATAGATTATATTTATTATTCAGCATTTCCATATTCACCGGACAAAAATTACTATTGTCTATTAAAATACAACATAAAAAGAAGTGAGCAATAAAATTATGGTTCTCTATAAACTACTAATACTAATCTTACTTTTTATATGTACAATAATATCAAGTGAATGAAAAGAATTTTCTCCAGACTTAAATAGTTTAAAATCATCATAGTGCATTCTTAAATTCGGAATTTCAGATTGTTTCAAACAGTCTTATTAAAGAGCGATATTATTTTGTTGTGAAAAGTGGTTCTAAAAAATAACTTAATTTATATTTTAAATCTTTTGGTTTCCCTAATTTTAATTTCATTATTCTCTATACACTGATAGTTTTAAAGCTTATACAACTTATTATTTATAGCAGGTGTATTTTGGTAGAGTGAGTCTAATTAAAAACTATTAAATATGTCATTTGTACATTTAGTAAAAAATATATTCATCACACTGATGTTTCTTCGTTTTTCTCATCAATCCTGAAAAATAATTTTTTAATTAGACATTGTTTTCTTATAAAGTTTTAGCCACCTCACCATAATAATCCATAGAAATTTTTAGTTGTTAATTCCATATTCCCATAACCAGCTAATGTTGAAAATAAAGAAATGTTAGTAAAAATGTTATGTACCTATGTTTTTGGTAGGTAATTGGTTTTTTGGATAAAAATAATATAGTATATAGAGTACACCAATTCCTTAAGTAGGTATCCTTCTACAGTGTGACCCATTTGTTTGCGACTCATCACTGTAAAATCTTTATTTATTGTGCGATTTTAACCGGATTTGTTTTAAAATGTAGATCTTGATAAACTTTATTAAACACATTTTTACAAAATTCAAGGCCTACCATGTCAGTTTTTGAAAGTAAATTTTAAAGAATTCATATTTTGCGATTTAAAAAAATATATGCACGGCTCTGGATTCACCACGCCTCAAAACGAGGAGACAAAATTTATTAGGTCAAGTAATCAATGAAAAAAAACATTGAAATAAAATTAATGTTTAACTTGACAAAATAAATTTTTGGTTTGGTTACAAAATCGTCCATAGATTTTTAAAAAAGAAATCGCTACCTATGTGTATTCTTAAAACTCTCAAAAACTGACATAGTAGGCCTTGCATTTTGTAATCATATGTTTTTTTTTGCTCCAAAATTACAGTTTATCAAGATCGGATTAACACAAATCCGGTTAAAATCGCACAATAAATATTTTACAGGGGTGAGTCGCAAACAAATGGGCCACACTATGGGTTACTTTTTTATTTGAAGAGCTACAAGGTTGGTTAAATTAGACAGAAGTTGCGTAAGTAAGTCTATTAAAATGTTATTTACAAATTGTATAAAAAATCAGCGGTTTTGTAATAATTAAAAAAAATAAAAACCCGTCAAAACAAAAAATTTCTATAGGTAACTCATTTATTATTTACAATTACATTTATTTACAATTTCATTCAATTTGTGAATTTTGATTAAGTAAATCAAGAAATCCAACGATGTATCAAACTACATAACTTATGGCGGACATTATAAAGACAAAAGATGGCGATGTCACCTAACTCAAAACATAGCAGCGAAGCAATTGGATGAAAATATACATAGATTAAGGTATATTAGGGTGGCCAAAAAAAAAAGAATATTTTTTTTCTCGTCTCTTGGGTCGAGAAATCACTTATTTTTCAAAAACTGCTACCGCACCCGCGCACCCTTGAAACGCAAAATCGAACTCCACGTAAACGACTCGTGTTAGTGAATTGGCCCGAATATGTGGGTTAAGCATCTTAACATAATATATTATACAATGTTAAAATATCACAAATTACGGAAAATTTTAGTACCTGCACCAAAAACCCCTAAACCAAAAACCGTTACATGCATTTCTCTACTTACTGAGGAGCCTCGGGTGGCTGTCCAGAATGTATCATGCTGACAGGGGGCATGAGCGGAGATGGCGAACCCCGCATGCTGCCGCAATGCGAGCCGTGCATACTGCCCAGCACCGAGCCCATGCGCGAGCCCATCGTGGAGCCGTGGTAGTCCATGCCCGGGTTGTTTATGTCGTTTGTGATGGGCGACATCATGCGGCTCGATGGGTGGGGTGGATGCATTGAGGCATGGTAGTTGTTGTGTATCGGGATGTGGTCTTCTTCAGCTAAAGTTAAAATATCGAGTTAGGAATTAATTTGATACCATACTAACGGAAGAGCTAAAGGGGTACTAACCTGTGATTAGGTTATCTAGTGGCAGCAGGAACAAGCAAAAGCCATTATTAATAACGGGGTTTAAAGCAATATAAAAATGTACTAACCTGTATAAGGAAACAGATATTTATCATTCATATGGTGCTTGTCCTCGATATCAGAACACCTCTCCGCGTACTCCTGATAGTTCATATTCTCATGCGGCATCATTTTCGGCATATATTCGCCTTTGAACATGGCATTACTTGGATTGTATCGGTTATCATAGTGAGTCCTGACCATGTACTGCTCCGATTGCATTCCCGGTATACAAGTTTCCGGAGTGACATCAGGATTTGGAAGCGGATTCGGGGACGCTGTTTTGTGACAGAACTCATTATCGGAACCCGTTTCTTGAGACCAACGACCAATCTCTGGAACGCTTGGATTTGGTAGATAGGATTCTGGAAGCTGACTGGACCATCTGGATCCATATGATGGCGGAACAGCCGGGAAGAGTTGAGAATTTGTTACAACGTTCAGAGAAGGTGGAGTGCCACAACGGGAAACAACGTGCTCTGTTATGTTTGGAAGATATCCTTGTCTGCTGGCGCCTAGAACATAAAACAAACGTTACCCCATAGAATTGAATAGTTTTATTAAAGTAATAAAAATTACATTAAACGTCAAATAATGCATTTAAAAATATTACTAGGTAAGTAAAGACATATGTAAATATAAAGTATAACAAAGAAAAGTAAAGCAAAAAATTAAATACAAATATAAAAAGTATAGCATAGATAAAACAGGTAAATAAAAATAATCTTTAGTTTTATAATTAATAAATTCTTGTCAGTACCACATCAACACTCCTACGGTTGAGTCGTAATAGTTTCTCCGCTTTGAACCATAAACAAATACAGTGCATAGACAGTGCATTTAAAACCTAATCTAAAAGTTTAAAAGCGAGAAGTGAACTGCCACCCCACCTGTCAAAGTCACGGAACTACCCACCTGACACAGGTAGTTCATCGCGGCATGAACCTGGAAGAAACCAATTACAAGGATATTCAGATAAATTTTTAATATCTGCACTTCGCTATTTGCGTAAATAAGAATTCACCGATCCTACGGGTGTTTATACCTTCCCAAGTGACAAATCCGTAGAAATCAACAAGAAAGAATAAAAATACCGAATGCACAGGCAGTATAGGACGTGACAAGTAGTACCTACTTAATAAACACATAATCTTATGTAAGTAATCAAACCATTTTCTAATCTTTGCCTTAAATAAACAAACTGGGGGACCTTCTCGAGTATTAAAAATAAATAAATAAAAAGTAGAAGCAGTAAAAATAAATACAAATGCAATTTCTTAATTGTTAAATAAGAAAAGAAAACGTAAACACATTTTTACCTCAACAGGAAAACAACGAATAGTCGATTTCAATAAATAGTTCCTACTACTTAATAAATAAATTAAATAATTATAGGCATTGCTTAGGTAAGTAAACAAAAACTAATCTAAAAAAACTTTAAACCAAACCCAATAATTGCATTCGGTAAAATTTGTCTAACCATTCCGTTGGGACAAAGAGTCAATAACTCTTAACGAGTCATTTTAAGTGTTTCTAAGAGTGTGGGGAAAGTAAAAACAACACCGCATTGGGGCAAACAACTGCGTGCAGCAGATTCCGAATTCCAGCAGACCGGACAGAGACCTGGATAAAATACAAGACCAGCGAGGAAGTCCAAGTAACGTACTAATAACCCATGCCTCATTCATGAACCCCAATTGAATGGGGTCATTACCAATACCCTGATTGAGGGGGAGTCCGGATTGTAATTAGTTTTGGGTCAGTTCAAGGCCCCAAAAAAAAATCAACCGTTGTCCCTCCTTGTTATACTCCACTAGCCTAAATTGGGCGTATGGTCTGCCCGGCGACAAAATTCCGGGAATGGCCTTCACCATCGACACTGTCATTCACGACCTCCTAGGAAAGATTACCTGCCGGGGTAAAAATTCGGATCCACCAAGCACAGGTAACGCTGTGCAGTGGCGGGATACGTATAGAACCGAAAGGGAGTAAAATAACCATAGAAAATCATTGTACGCTCTTATACTCATATAATTAAAAAATTCTTCTGGGTTATAAAAAGAATTTAATAACAAAAAAGATTTAAGCTGCTGAGTAAATTTTTTCTTTGCGGGCTGTTCCTGGAGACTTTTCGGTAGATGATTAAATATATTTGGACCCCAGTAATCAATATATTGCTGGGTAAGTTTGGATTTGTGCAAGGCTATTTTAAATTTATCTTTTTTTCTGGTATTAGAATCATGCGAAGCATAGTTTTTGAGACTCACCGGATAGAAATAATCTTGCTGTAAAAATAATCATAAATCATTTAATAAAATATATTTACCGTTGTTTCTGTGCCTGTGTCTTCTGGTACTACTTTCATCATCATCACTAGAGTGACTGGAAGCAAGATCCAAACTTCTACCTTCAGAGCCATCGCTATCCGAATCACTGTCACCACGTCTTTCCCTCCTTTCACCTTCTTCAGGGTGCGGTTCTCGGTGTCTATGCAACCCTTCTTGCTCGTAACCGCGCATGTAAGATGGCACATCGCTAGTTGAATTGTAGTTTGAGGTGGAAGTGGACGTGTGGCGTAAATGTGTATCGCTTCTGTAAGGGCTCGAGCTGGTTTTTGTGGTTGAACGGCTTGTTGTGCTTGAAGCTGAAATGCCGATATTTCTTCGTGTTGGGTCCATGCTTGAATGGTAGGCTAGTGCCGACCTCTGCGAATAAAAATAACATTACGTACAACTTCTTGTCAAGAAATTTTAAGAAAACTTACTGATTGGGCGTTAAGGTTCTGGCTGCTAGTGCTTGGCACACCCACAACTGACGTTGTCTCCAAAAGTGGTACCTTTTTCCCCATACATCTCATTATAGACCTTAGGAGATTTTGCCGGACTCTCTGATTAGCGAAACAGTAACCAGCCAATGAAAAGGCAGCGTGTACCAAAACAGCGGCTGACAAAAACGGTGTTAACAATGGATGTTTCTCAGAGGCCGCTAATATAGCCAGAACCCATGTGGTGCCCATCAAAGGTAAAGCAACTACAGACACCCATAGTAAGGTTCGTAAGTTGCCGAAGCCAAGAACGTGATCTTGGAGAGTAAACGCGGCTCTTATCGACACTACCAATACGAAGAAATTTATGACGATAAGCAGACATATTGGTCCTACTAAACTCCATATTACGCTTTCGTACAAAGATACCCAACAGCTATAAAAAACGAAATTATTATATCAAATAAATTAAAAAATTTCAAATACTGTACTTACAAGTAATAGTTTCCATACTGGTGTGCTCTCACACCAACCGAGAGACTGACTACTATAGCTGGTACGACATACCCCATGGTATAATATACCCTCATAGGGCCGTGGTTTATATCCCTCATCTCAGTCAACATTCTGTATAAATGTATGGCATCAACTAGCATCCACGAAAATGATCCCAACCATAAATAATGTAGACCTATTGCTACTAGCTTACAGGAGAACTAAAAAAGACGATTTTATAAAATACTTGATATGATCTACTTATTTTTTTTACCTCGTTGGCCACCATAGGTCTTCTGGCTTTAAGGGCTACGAAGTAAAGGAGTTCCGCAAGGAAGACACACAGGACCAGATTTTTTCTGATTGTGTTAGAGTTTGTTTGTAGGCCTCTTATAAGTGCTAATATAAGATATGTTGATAGTAGTAGTGGCAGTGATAGAGAGAAACATGCATAGCTTGAAATATCTTCTAGTAGTGACGGTTCAGGAATATACTCTAGATCCACAACATCAACTAATACAGCGAATGTTGTCAAGTGGTTGCAAGTACAATTTACTATTAAAGGTTCATCGAAATCTTTATCAAACCAGTTATCCGTTAACTCTGTCCTGCATCCAACTCTTGACCATTCACCATAACCTTTGGCGGTAGACCAATGTACACACTGGGGGTTTGATCTTTCGTTGAAAACAGTTTGATTTGAGTCTAGCCATATTTGTAATCGTACAGGCAAAGCCAAAGGTATGCCTGATAGGCTTCTATACAATAGTTTTTTAGTTAGACTTTTATCCCTTCTGACTCTGCTCATATCAGTGTGTAAGTATCTAGCGTCATTCTCATGGTATTTACCGTTTGGTTCAGTGAAAACCTTTTTGCTCCACATTTCTTTCTCTTTGTCAGACAGTTGTACATCCTCAAAAATTACTGGAGGACTGGATTTTCCCACAGCTTCAATATATTCTGGCACCAATATACTAACGGATACAAGTGGCGAACCGATTGTTATATCCACCCCCCACCTACGCAGAATAGACTCGTCATACGATTTTGGGAGTAAGGTCCCAGCTTGCTTATATTGCGCGTAACTAACCACAGCGCCATCTTCAGGTAACGAATGTTTTGTTATAAGCTCGCCAGACTCTATGGGATTGATGCCTAGTAAACTTAAAGGTACTAATATTTTGGTTGTTTGGTCAAATTTTGATTTGTCTAACAAGTAATTGTTATACTTTGGAAAGGCGACCAACGGACCATGTGAGTATGGTATTTGATTATCTTGGAGGTAGTTTGATGTATCGGGGAGGATTACTTTTTCTGTGGTGTAGTCTCCATTGTTGAGTTGAGGGCCTACTTCAGGCTCGTAGCCGTATAGGGATTCCGGAGTAACGACATCTAATCCTAGAACTATTAAAATTGTTAGCAATTAGTTCTAAACTTGTCCAAAGATAAATAAAACTTACCCATATTTGTAGTGACAATTTCAAAGGGGTTTGTGTATGTATCATGTTGACTCATAGATAACACATTAATATACTTCTCCATAAACTCAATAAGTTGTTCTGTGGACTCCCCTGTTAGTTTTTTGATTTTTTTCCAGTGCTCAGAATATTCCTCTGTTAAAACAACGTTGCTCGAATGTACAATATTCTAAAAATAATACATTAATTAACTTTACTTTTAAATGTGAAGTATAACTTACATAAATATAGTCCTTATCTTGACTGTGTGTTAAATTTAAACCATGCATTTTGAATTCATAGTTCAACAATTCCTTTATCAAATCATAGGTTACTAAAACATCGGCGCCGTATAAATTCCTTGTTAGATTCGTTGCTCGGTTTAAATCGTGGGCTAACTTGATAGCCACAAAGGTATTTAACTGCAATTCTCCTTTCTCTATATTGGAAAGTTGTTCTCTCAATTCAACAAATCTTTGAGAGGTGCAGTTAAACATGTCGGGCTCTTGCCAGCCTCCCAATTCGTTGTCACAATTTCGGGAAGCCTTACCATAGGATCCTTTTGGACAACTCTCAATGGCTTCCTGTCCAAATGTTGTTCTAGGCCACCATATATTGTACGATGAGGATCTGGGGCATCCATCGTAGATAACCTCACAACCTTTTAATGTTACTTCAGCGAGGTTATTAGGACAAGAATCACATTTTTGACCTATGACACCGTCACGACATCTACACTGACCAGTCTCGTGGTCGCACTGAGTGCTGTATGACCCTATGTGATAGCAATCACATGGTATACATTTTGTGGTTCTTGAGGGTTGATAGTGATTCTCTCTGCAGTGACATTTACCGTTGTCCTTGTTACAATCAGGGTTATATCCTGCCTCTACGTCGCAATGACAAGGTCCACAAACAGGATAACCCCACCAACTAGCTGGACAAGGTTGTGCCATCTCGCTTTCACAATATTCACCTGAATAGTCTGATGAGTTGCAAGAACATTTATAACCTCTATCTATTGTGGTGTCTTCTAAACATTTTCCGCCATGTTCGCACGGAGATACAGTACAAACAGGTATGCACAGAGGCCCTACATGCCCCTCTTTACATTCACAATGGGATTTACCCCACTCTGTTATGCACTGAGAGGAAGCAGGGCAATCCGTTTGACATTCTGTAGGTGAAAAACATCCATCCTCAACATTTTCTTTTACAGTGGGTCTGTTAAGATTAGTCTGATGATTACCAATGCGTACATCCTGTATACAACCTTCCAAGTAGTTGTAGCCAGCATTAAGGCTTGAGTAGGTGTTATCAGGACCTCCGATTAGGATTTTACCTACGTATAAACCTTGTATTTTTTCTACGAATGGTAAGGTTTTCGTGTATTCTCCATAGTCTATGGATAGTTTAATTTCTGTGCCTATCCAGGTTACTTCCAGTTGATGCCATTCTCCGTCAGATAGAATTTTTGATGGTAATGATAGAGAGTCGCCGTTGTATGTATAGAAAAGATAGCCGTTGTTAAGCTGAAAAAAATGTGAAATGTTTACTACAAATTTTAAGAAAATATTATGGAATACCTACAGATACAACAGCAGAACTGTTTTGACCAACTTGTATCGACATGAGGAAGGTATCTTTCTGCAATGTTCTAACTGATATAGCGTTTAACCAAGGTAATTGTATTGGTCTTAGAAGAGGGTTAAATGAAAGTGTACCATCTCCAGAAAAGTGCCATGGTCTGCTGATTTCTTTAACACAAAAACATATAATATACATAATATATACATACAAATTAACTTACTTTCACTACAATCTCTTCCGCCATATCCTTCAGGACAAATACACTTAAACATGGCCCAACCCTCAGTGCACTGTCCACCATTTTTACACGGCGTAGTATCACAGAAAGCTCTCTTCTCTGGACACCCAGCTGTAGTACCATTATCAGTCACAAAACTATTCAAATCCACAAATTTATAATCGATTTCCAACTGTGATATACACCCAACATAGTTGTGATTTTTGATTTGGAAATGAGCTGACAAGCCCGGTAAACCTCCCAATTGTAGTGGACCAGTTAAATCTAGGAATCTGTGACATGTTTCGGTCAAGGAGGCGCAGCGGGATTCCAGGTTATGTTCTGCGTATCCAGCGCATTGCCATTTTCCTCCTAAATCTGACCCATGTTTAAGAGCCAAGGCTGTGTCACAGTCATCTAATGATATTGTTACAGTCTGAAAATAATAATGTTAAATGGTCATAATAGTTTTTGTTTATTGTATTTACCTTATTGAAGTAGCTAACAGTAACAGAATGCCATTTTCCATCCGAAACGCCTCCAGGAACTGAAGCTGAGGCTGCCGTTACCTTGCTGCCTAACGAAAAGGAAAACTGAACCGACCCCCTAACAATCTCCAAAGCTATGAAATCGTGCTGCTCGTTATACCTTCCATTGTACAGTAACAAGCCGTCTTGGGATTGCGTTGCAAATTTCATTTTGATATTCATCCGGTGTCTCTGTTTTAAACTGGGGAACGTGAGGAAGGACGTTTTCGTGAAACTGCGGCTCTTCAGTTGACAAATTGAAGTGTAGTGCTCAGTTTCCGCAGCCAGATTGCACTCCTCGCATATAAAGCTAGTTGGACCTTGTTTTGGATTGCATGTTTTATCCACGCGGCAGTCTGACGGTTTACAAACGTCCTTTTCGAGCCTAATCTCGCAGTTTTCTCCCGCGAAACCCTCATTGCATACGCAGGTGTAGCCGCCTTCTCTTACTTTACAGGTTCCGTTGTTTTTACATGGCGAGGAGTAGCATAGATTTACTTCGGTATCGCATAAGTAATGCTCCTTAGAGCCTGTAAAGCCCTTCGGGCATTGGCAAGTGAAAGAGGTTACAGGATAAATTGGTCTGAATAAGACTGTATCGCTGTTTATAAATCCAGAAGCGTTTCCGAATTTCAGGATTGTTAGGCACTCTTCATAGTTCAGACAAGGTTCACGTACGCATAGATTATCATCAAATGGTAGTATTTGTACTGTAGATAATCTAGCCAGTATAGCTTTGTTCAAATAGACTTTCTCCTGTAAAAATTGTGGCGTATAGAACTCTTCCTTAGGTACGTCAGGACGTCTCACAGAAAAACTAACGTTTAATATCTTAGAATTAACATCCGTATCGTCTTGTATACTGAATATAAATATATTCTCTTTTGGGCAAGGTATTATGGCGGCTAAACCATCCACAAAGAAGCCTAGTAAAGGTGATAAAAACGCTTCTTTGGTCATTTGATTTAACCGTACTGTTATAGAGTTTAAGAGCATTTCTTCTGTTATTAATCTTACAGCTAGCTGCATTATGGCTTTAACTTCGTTGATGCCATCAGTAACTGATACTTCCATTGAGGCCATTTTTGGTACGTTCGTGTTCAGTTGTGGTGACAATTGTAATTGTCCAGTACTTTCGTTCAAAGCCACTAAGTTAGCATTATTACCGGACAATATCTTGTAGTGCAGTCGATCCGATACATCAGCGTCGAATGCAGGTATTTTTCCTACAGGCCCTGTTGGAAAGCAGTCTTTAAAGTTGTTAAACAATACGTTAAAGTCTTTTAGAACAGGGGCGTTATCGTTTACATCTGTAACGATGATTTCCACATGAGCGTCGCTACGTAACGGTGGACTTGCCGCGCGCACTATGAGATCGTATTTTTTCTTTGAACTCTCGTAATCCAATTCAGTCATTGTTAGGAGTTCGGCCTTATCAGAACCTGGACGTGTGATTAACGAGAAGCTTTGAGAATCTTCACCGCCAATAATGGAGTATTGCACTATGGCGTTTACGCCTTCATCTGGATCCTTAGCGAAGATTTCACCCACTGTGGAACCAATAGGGCTGTTTTCAGCTATGTAAAGTACGATTTTGTCGGAATCAAAGGCAGGGGGTGAATCGTTGATATCTTCGATTCTTATTGCCACTGGTACTGATGAGCTTAACGTTGGTGAACCTCTATCAATAGCATATGCTTCTAGTTCGTATATGGCTACTGACTCTCTGTCCAGACCTTTGTTGGTTCTTATAACACCACTAGTAGGGTCGATTACAAAGGAACCGTCTTCCTGATCTTTCTCGCTAAGAGTGTAACGGATTCTCCCATTTAGACCAACATCGGCATCTGTGGCAGATACTTGTACAACTGAGGTACCGACTAAAGCGTCTTCTAGAACGCTCCCGGAGTAGGAGGGTTGTTTAAAAACTGGGTAGTTATCATTAACGTCTGTAACGGTGATTTCAACATCTGTGGTATCTGAGAGGGGAGGATTACCACCGTCGCGAGCTGTTACAGTTAATAGAAAACCACTTGCTGTTTCCCTATCTAGTGGTTTTGTGGTTACAATCGCTCCTGTTTGAGGGTTTATTGTGAATTCCGGTGTATGTCCTGGTTGTCCGGAATCTTCCCCAAGTGAGTAGGTGATGTGCGCGTTTAAACCAACATCATTATCATTTGCTGATACAACTAATACGGTCGTACCGACTATGGCATCTTCAAAAACACTGGCTGTGTAAGGTGCGTTCTCAAAAACAGGGGCGAAATTGTTGGCGTCTGTGATATTAACATACACAGTAGCTGTATCGGATCTACCACCTGAATCAGTCGCTGTGACAGTCAAAATATAACGTTTCTCTTGCTTGTAATCCAATGGCTGTGCTACAGTAATCAACCCTCTACCATTCTGGGAGGTAATGGCGAATCGTGTTCGTGTATTTCCGTTGGTGAGCTCGTAGTGCAATCGGGAGTCTTCGTCAGGGTCCGTGGCGGTTACCGTAGCTACAGGGGTGCCCGGAGGGTCATCTTCTGCCACTACCGATTCGTAGATTTTTGGTTCAAAAAGAGGATCGTTATCGTTTACGTCTTGCACTGTTATGATGACGCTTGCACTGGCTGATTGTGGTGGTACGCCTTGGTCTGTTGCGATGACCTAAAAAAATTATTTGAATTAATACAGGTTACATATGTATATAGGTATATATAGTGTTTTTTGACAGTTAAGCGGCTGTGGTCATTTCAGAAAGTAATAAAGGACAACAATACAAAAAATACATTAGATTTATGGCACTTGGTGATTTGAAGATGGAACGATAAAATTAGGGAGACTACTCTACTTTTAATATTTACAATACAATGGAAAACTAGCTTCGTCACGTTAATCAAACACATCTTTTAAAAAAATAATTTACCCAAGGTAAATCAATAATTATTATTGGACAATTAGAAGATGTTGTTACTCCCAAAACATTTGAAAAATCGAAAAAATTATTTAGGTAAAGTGAAGATGGAACGATAAAATTAGGAAGACTAAGGGCCGGTTTATCAATCTCTAGTTAAGTTCCAGTTAGTCTATCTGACAGTTAAATTCCATATCGATTGTTGCGAGAACAATGGTAACCATGGAAATTATCTACTAGATAACTAACTGCAACTTTAACTAGACATTGATAAACCGGCCCTCAATGGAAAATAAATAAGCGATTTAACCAAGCCAATGCACCATATAACAAGTTGATGGTAACAATGGAAAACTCAATAAATTAAAGTTTGAATTTTTTCCGCACCCACCATATTTGCAAGATCTGGCCCCCATAGACTATATGGACACACGATAGACAACAGTTACTGTATAAATTATGCTAATAGTAGTATAATAATAATATAATTTTATCATAACAACAGTAATTAATGAGAAACTAAAAAACTCACAACATTTAATATGATAAGATAAAAAGTCTTATGCATACAGATGAACAACACAAAGATTAACTATTTGTATTAAAAAATTATAATATTAATAATTTAAGTATGTATATTCTTATAAGTATTAGTGTAACGAAATGTCATTTATTATAGTTGGATACAGTGGTGGCTCGTAAGGTAGTGCCACAAAGCCATGGTACCTTATTTTTCTCCAAACAAATATTTTTTTATCTTTAAAACATTTTATTATTATTTAATTTTATGAATTTCTTATTATAATTTATTTATAGATTATACTTTCTAAAAATAAATTAGTCAAAAATGACTAATTACTACAGTTATTAGTGGCTGCTTTTTCACTTGCACCATTGTTAACCATGGGATACCATGGTTTCCTAAAATTTAAGAGCCAATTCTTATGTAAAATTGTCCCCTGAATCCAAAATGTTAAAATAGTAGAACAGTTTTTGAGATATGGTCAATTTTCCATTTAATATGGAATTAACTATATCTCAAAAACTGCTCTACTTTCATAATTTTTGATGGTATTTTCGGATTCAGGGGACACTTTTACATAAGAATTGGCTGTTAAATTTTTTGATACCATGGTATCCCATGGTTAACAATGGTACAAGTGACCACTACTGTAGTAATAAGTCATTTTTGACCAATTCATTTTTAGAGAGTATATATTTATAATAAAAATAATTGGTTGTGAAGAAACTTTTGCTTTTGCACTATCTGGCAACATTCTGGCACTACCTTCTTAGATTTTTACGAACCTCCACTGGTTGGACATAAACATACAGTTAATTAAAATTTGCTAATAACTATATTTAATATTAATTAAAATAAATATTTTTTTGAGATGCCAAGCTGGTGCGAAAATTAACTGTCAGCTTTTTAAGTTTTATAACCAGACAAATAACATCATTTTTTCTTTTTATCGACTTCAAAAAACCTTTAATGCATTAATGCTTGCCTAAAGTTCCCAAATGCTTGCCTAATTAGTGGTTTTACTTTTTCAATTATCGTTTATTTAAATAAAAAAAATAATTTTTTTAGATGCATCGCAACATACTGTGCAGAGACACCGAAGCGCCGACCATCGCTCCGAGCACCAAAATAAACACATGGATTTAAACACTACAACTTTGCCTAGATTTAACATTGTGTGTTTTTTGTGAGAGAAGCTGTGATACCATACCATGGACGTTTTTACAAAAATATTTTATGCAATAAACGACATAATTTAACAAAAGAAAATGTCCAGAACATGATTGTTTGCTACTTTAATGCTAATAAAGCAACAAAAGCATAAAAAATGCATTGATATATTGTAAAATGGGTTTTTTAATTAGTTAGGTATGATGTAAAACAATTTTTTGATTTTTTTTGCCTTTTTTGTGCCTCCCTGTTTTTTCTTTTTCGGTTGCCCTTTTGGAACCGTTTTTCAGTTTTTGTTTATCGAAAATTCGGGAAACTTGAAATATTGAAATATTCCACTATCTTTTTTCTATTTTTACTATAAAGCGTGTATACAGGGTGCACTAAGTATCCTTTTATGTGAATACTTCTATGGGTATTTTTTTATTTAAAGATGTAATAAGGTTGGTTAAATTAAAAATAAGTTGCGTAATTACAAGCCTATTAAAGGGAAATTTATAAATTGAAAAAACCCAGCGGTTCTAAAAATATTTCAGAAAAACTAAAAACCTTTCAAAACCAAAAATAGTTGTAATTTTGTTGTTCGTGGGAATTTTGAAAAAAAGTAAGTTTACATGTAAACATACACATTCATCTACATTTTCATTAGGGTTTTAAAATTTCCGGAAAAATTGAGCCGCCGCGGCGAAAAAAAAACGTTTTCCCGGGAAAAAACGGAAAAATTGAAATTTTTTAGAAAAATTTACTTTTGCATTTTTTTCATTTAATTTAAATACGAAAAAATGCAAAAGTCGAAATTAGAAAAAAAAGTAAATTTTCGACGCTGAATATAATCATAATAATTATTTTTATTTTAATTAAGTAAGAATATTCTACCGGGTCGCAAAAAACATATTCGGTCCTTTTTGCAAAAATGACCCAACCGACAGCATATTTAACGTTTACGTTTCTTTTCTGAAATCAATTTAATTCGATGTTTAGTTTTATTTTTTTTCTGTAAGGATATTTCTTTTAAATAAAAATAATATTATGATATTAATTGCCACTTTTTCAAATGTGTATAGACAATTTTTCCAAGGCCTGATAAAAAACAGGTTTTTTCCCCAATTTTTCTATTTTTTTTTCGACACTTTAAATCCCTAATTTTTATCCAATGTAGCTATTACTATATTTTGACTTACCATCACCATCTTTTGTTTTTATAATGGCCGCCATAACTTATGTAGTTTAATACATTATTGGATTCCTTCATTTTTTTGTTTCTAACCGTGTAAAATTACAATATGGCGGACATAGAAAAACAAAAGGAGGTGGTTGTAACTCAAAATCTAGTAAGCGAAAAAAAATCACAAATTAGAAGAAAATGTGAAACTCACTTTTTTTAAAGTCCTAGAAATACCGATTATAACGATTTTTAGTTTCGAGAGGATTTCAGTTTTGTTTTCAAATTATTTTAGAACCGATGATTTTTTTCCAATTTTTAAATGCAATTTTAATAAACTTGTAATTACGCAACTTTTCCCTAATTTAACCGACCTTGTAGCTCTTTAAATAAAAAAGATACGAATACATAGAAGAATACTTGGTGCACATTGTATAATACTTAATAAATTACTCACTTATTAACTTCCCATTTACCGATAACGTAGTTGAAAATTTGCTACGTTACTTCGTTATAAAGTCCAAACTCAATTCTCACATGCAAATAACTTATGCAACTTTATATCTCATACGAGAATAAAACTGCACCGACGGAAATTTTATAATTTAAATAGATGAACGTTTAAGTATGCCATGATTTCCCAAGCGGTGCTCAGTTTTGCATTACAGAAATAAAATTTATTTCGATGTAGTCGAACTCGTATTACATATTTTTCAATATGTATTTAGTTTAATGCACCGAGAGCAGAAAACAGGTTAGGCTACTATTGCAGATCTTATTTCACAAATATACTTCCTTTGGAATATGAAGTAAATAGAATAAAGAAATAGAAAAAATATGAGAGACCGAAGGTTTTAAAATGATTAAAATTTGTATTTAATCCGTAACTACATAAACCAAAAAAGGATTTTTGTATTCCCCAGCGAAAATATGGACGAGTGCAGTCTTAAACGAAGTATGAATAATAAAGAATGAAACATGTCCCTTGTCAGCATCCTTTATTCAATAGCAATTTTTTATAGTATCTTAGTTTTCGGTATAAAAAACTGCATGTTTTATTCATGATATGTTAAGGGTTTGGCCTAAAAAATGAGCAAGACTGATACCTCCATCAAGCTTTTAAACTGCGTTCCAGCACACATCTAATCATAGTGGTTTATATCCCTACATTAATTTAAATTAACTAATAACCAGAGTAAGTATAGGAGATATAACTATGAATTTATTCTAATTACATTTTACTACTTCCTTAATATTATAATTCCGTTTAGGAATGTGTGGGACGGTGTTTGACACAAATATGCATAATTTAATTTATCAATCAAAAGAAATTTAAACTTATTAAGTCGTTTGTGAAACGGTACATGCTAATGTAAAATTTGTTCGTCTATTTTTTGGTATGTTGCACGTGGCAAATTATGGAAGAAAAAAAGTAATCGACCGATTTTTCCGTTGTGAAAATCTTTTTAATAAATTTATTACTTAAGTGATGCAAAAAGAGGCTATATTATCGCTAAAATTGGAGAAGGTTGGTCTCAACAACGCATAGAAGATGAAATGAAATTAAACAAAAAGTGGTGATCTAAGTAGGGTAAGTGGTTCTGGGCGCCAAACTTGGACAACTCCAGTAAACGACAATTAGTTGAGGTTGAATATTTAAAGTAAAATTAATTTTATAACTTCATTTAAGCCAAAGAAGAAACACACTTCCTAGCATCCATTGAATCGGTATTGGGAGCTAGTGGTCTTTTCCGAAGAAATAATATTTCAGTCCTTCTACAATTTACAAGTGCGAGTTTATCATAAGTGTGATAAAAAATACCTGCACAAAAAGAAGCATGTGAAAATAACTTGGTTTAGTTTTTCGCCTAAAGAAACCACAAAAATAATTCCCTAATGGAATAATGTCTCTACCCGAAAAATGGCAAATACAGTTTATTTAAAATAAGAATGTAGATACCAATATTACATGGAAAATAGAGATTAAGAAAACATTTTTCCAAAAAAGCGTTTGCCTTAAAATCATCCAATGATTCAGTCTCAACATCCAATTAGGAAACACCCTGCATACAACGTCTCTATTTATTTAGTCGTATACTCACTTGAAACATGAACTTGGATTGATCCTCCCTATCCAACTCTTTGGTGGTGACAATCCACCCTGTATGCGAGTCCACACTCAAAGGCAAATCTTCGGTACTTCCCCCTGTTGCATCTCGTGGCGCTATAGTGTACTTAATTTCCGCATTGGGGCCTTCATCGGCATCATAAGCTTGTACCTTAACAATGCTGTAACCTGCCGGTACATTTTCCAAAACGCTCTCTTGAAAAAGAGACGTGTAAAACCTTGGCGCGTTATCATTTACGTCTTTCACATTTACTAGTAGCTGTGTGGTGTTTGATCTGGCTGGGCTGCCGCCATCTTGCGCTCTTATTACTAAGCGGTAGTTACGTAGAGTCTCGTAGTCCAGTGGTTTAACTAAAGAAACATCCCCTGTTAAGCTGTCTATAGCAAATTGTGATTGCGTATTTCCGCTTATTAAAGCATAACGTATTGCTGCATTCGTGCCTTGGTCAGCGTCTGTGGCTCTGCAAGAAATAAAAGAAATTTAGTCTTTGTTATTTCATGTTGTTTATTTTTCTGATTTTGTAGGGCTTACGTTCAGAAGAAACAAGATTGCTATAATAAGCAATTCTGTTCATTAAATTGGGACTTATATACTTGAAAAATAAATCATTTGCTCGTGAACGGAAGTTTCTAGATATTTATTGACATTTTCGGTGGAATTGGAAATAAATAAGGATTAATTTTAGAACTTCGCAAATTTTAAGATTCTAAAATTATAAGCCAATTAAAATTTTTGTAATGCGATAGTAAGGCATTTCCATTTTAAATTAATTTTTAAAGACCTAGTTAAGTTAAGTTAATTTAGTTCAAATATTAATTATAAGTATACCTACTATTATTGAACAAAAATAAATATGTCATATTTCAGTCCATCTAAAACCAGGAATAAAACATAAGGGTGAACATAGAAAGAGTAAAACTAAAAACTTAAACTTAAGCAACTAACGAAAAGAAGAATAAAAAGATAAACAAAGAAGGAGAAGAATATAAAGAAGTTGAAGAAGTAAAAAAATAAAAAAGAATATAAGAAGTAGAAGAAGTAGGATGAGTAGAAGGAGCAGAAAAAGATACAAAAGAAAAAGCATTAAAAAAAGAATAGATGGGGGATATGATTAAGAAGAAAAAGAGGTTAAAGAAGTAAAATAAGGGCAGAAGGAAAATAAGGAGAAAAAAAAGAAATTTCAAAAGTAGAAGAATGAAAAGAGAAGGAAGAAAAACTATTCAAATCTAGGGTTTATGCAAAATTGTTTATGTAATAAATTATACTAAATTAAAAAAAAATGTGTAGACAGGTATCGAATACAGATATGTAAATAATATTATAAACTCAATTAAAATAAAAAAGCGTATAATTTAGATTACCTTAAAGGAATATATAAATTAATAGACAAGATATAAATTACACTTTTACTTTTTGATATAAAAACAACGCATAGCAATTACTTGCAAATACAATTTATCCGGAGCTTGGTTTTTGAATTTAAATTACACGTTCCAGAATTGTTGTAATTTTGTAATAATAACCTTTAGGGTACTTCAATCGTGACCATGCCTATGCATATGTATGAGAGATCTTGACCATTACAACTATATATTTTATTACAAAACAACGTTGAATAGTACACAATATATGACAATCTTTACCACAATCAATCAAAATTTTATTTCACCTCTATTTACATATTGTTAAAAGGCTTCGTTAGTTTGTAAAGTCATTGTTATTCCTAATAATACTCTGTGCTGTCTTTTACATCCAATTCTGTTCGTGAAAACGCTTTGTTATGTCTGTCAATCCGATATTCAGCCAGATACATCATCTATGCTTAATGCACTAGCTGGAGAGCAACTGCTTCCTTGTTATTTGTACGTATCTCCTATGTATGACATGTAAATGTAAATTTGAAAAATTAAAATACAAGAGCAAAAAAGGCAATGCGGTCTGCATATTTACCCTTTTTCAACGAAATGTTTTACAAAACAGCCGCTGTACGGTTTGTAATGTTTGATAAATTACATTTTGGTGTCTGCATTTAGTTGTTTTAAACCATTAGCTACACCAGTCGACTTAATTAATACACATATAATGTGTGCTAATTAGTTTAAATGTCGGTTTTGTTAATGGAACAAAATTTAATGCATTGTGTTTGGGTAAATTAAAGTTTAAGATAAGCTGTGCAGTTATGCAATGGAGGAAATTGCTATATTGGCAGATTGATTAACTGTACAGGTTGTAATAAATTGTGAAAGGTTTTACTGAAAAGTTGACCTTAAATAAACCTGACAAAACTATATTCTCCTTCTTCTGCGACGAAAAACCTTTATACCCTCGGGGTGTCGGGTTTCCAGTAGGTCTGTTTCTAATCATTGTGCGTAGTTCATCTATGTATTGTCTTTCCTTTTTTTGCGCCAATTTCCTTGATTTAATTATTCCATGTTTTGTTTGGTCTCCCCCTTTTTCTTTTGTCAATTTTACCAGCTTCCACCATTTTATTACTATTATATTTTTTCACATCCTAACTTCTTACCATTCCAACTGTCGTTTCAAATTTTTGTTCATAAGTTCTTCTTGTTCTAATGATTCTTTTTATTAAGTTTTGTTATACTGTCCCATTATATATATCATATATATAATTTCTAGTGCTGTTTATTTTTACATAATTTTTTTGTAGTGTCCATGACTCGCATCCATATGTAATTACAGGCATTGCTATTTTATTAAACGTTCTTATTTTACCCTGTTTGCTTATTTCTTTCTTTCATATTTTTTTATTTACAGCATTTTATAATAAGATACTTTTATTTGCTCTATCCATCCAATATTCCAGATATTTAAACGTTGAAACTTATTCTAAATCTTGTTCCTTGATATCTATTTTTCTTTTATTATGTTAATTTACCATTTTTCTATATTTATATCCATCTGCATTTTTTAAAGTTTTCTTCTTTTAACTTTTGATTTTTAAACAATATCAACAGCATATGGTCAGGCAGTCTAATTTAATTGGTATTAATGTGTTGAATCCTATAAGCAATTGAATATTTTCTACTCTCTTCCGTAGTTTTTTTTAAAATTTGATCCATTAAAATGATAAAAACAAGAGTGCTTAGACGATCCCCGTTTAATTGTACTATTCCATTTACATTTCTGTATGTACATTGTACATTATTTGAATAATTTTCTCAGGAACTTTTAATTTCTTCAAACATTTCCAAATTATTTTTCTTTTTAGTTTATCAAAAGCAGCTCTTCAATTCAAGAAAAAATAATAGTATATTATTATACGAGAGATAATGCCGGCTTTTAATAATAGCATATAGAAATATATTCACGATATTTATTTTATTTTATTTTATTATTTTTAATGTGCTTTCAACAGGCACCAGGCCCAATTACAGAAATACACAATGACAAACACAAATAAACAACCATACCCCTGGTGGGATTCGAACCCACTTTAACTACTCCAATAAGTAGATAATTTAAATGATTTTCCAAAATAAATAAATAAAATTTCACATCTGTTAAATGGTTAACCTTACTTTTTACCAATTTTAAATGTTATTATAGTCGCCTTCTCCCAATTTAAAACCCGATTGGTTCAAATCTCAGTGAATATTGAAATCGGCCAATCACTGATGCCTAAAAACGTTAATAATGAGTTAATTTTTCCCGTTGTTAGGCAGAAAATTTATAATGTTTATCATTATTCTCGAAAAAAAACACAATATTATGCATTAGGAGTAGATAAAAATCATGTTTTTTTCCCTATTTTATAAGCAGCTTGTTCTTTCTCTAAATTATAATTATCTTTAAGGACTGTTCCAAGTTTTCCAGAATCTTCGTGTACATAATTAAAGCAGGTTGTAGAAAGGCATATAGCTCTATAGTTGCAACTGAAGTCTGAAGAATCACATATTGTATGAATCCGTAAAATTAAGTTTTTTACCATACTTTTGGGACTGTTGTTTGCCCAACCAAGCTCATTCTCAAACTTTAATTACAAATGGAAATGACATTTCAATTTAATCGGGCTACTGAAATTCAAATTGTAAAATAATTTTAAAGTTACTGTTTAAAGTACGCGAACTAAGAAAATTAAATTCGTATTTACTTCCAATTTCCTGAGAAAATCGAAGAGTGGAAAAGTTTAAACGATTTTTAAAAGGATTTACTACCTACAGACCAAATTAAACGTTCGTTTATGAGCAAATGATTTATTTTTTCAACACTTTCAAGTCGCAATTAAGGGGAATTGAAAAATAATTTATTCTTATTGGGATTTGATAACAAAAATGAGGTTATTCTATATAAACTATGTTTTATGAAGTCTGGGAAAAGTAAATTTCACTTTAAACATTGTTAATGTTTCAAGGATACTTTCGACAGGATAATCAACTTTGAAAAACCGTGCCGTATAGATTCCCGGTAAAAAATTGAGTGTGCTTAAACCTCGCCCACAATTCGGAGGCACGTTTTTGTACATTGCTGTGTATATTCGACTTTCCTGTCTCTATATGTATATCCCTGATATTATGATCTTGTAAATACTTAAAAACTAACAACTTTAAATAAAAGTTGACTTACTTGATATGTGCAACAACAGGATTATTGGTCCAACTCACATCCTCATTCAGAGCCACAGTATACGTTCTTTCAGAAAACTGCGGATAGTTATCGTTATCATCGAGAATATGTATCACAACGCTGGCTGTAGACGACTTTCTCGCTGTCTGAGGACTGGCTAAATCACTGGCACCCACAATTAAAGTATAAACTTCGGTGTTCTCTCTATCCAGAGTTGTTCTTGTTGTTATGACGCCGGTTTTAGAGTCAATTTTGAAGGCATGACTGTCTTCTTCATCACTTGAAATACCTCCACCACTTATGCTTTTGATTGAATACTCGACTTCAGCGTTTTTTCCCACATCTTGGTCTGTAGCTTTGAGGGTGATGACTGTGGTTCCAACGCTTACGCTTTCTCGCACGCTAGCGTCATATTCCGTCATTTCAAAGACTGGAGTATGGTCATTGGCGTCTAGAACATTGATTTGAAGCATTGTTGTACCTGATCGAGGTGGGAAAGAATCGTCCAGAGCGGTTACTCTAAAGTAATGTACATCTACTAACTCTCTATCAAGTTTTACTTTTGTCACGACGACTCCTGTCTTTGGGTCTATATCGAACATGGACTGTGTTCTTGAGTCCAATAAACTCGACATGGAATACGTAATGGGGCTATTCTCAGGATCTCTGGCTTTTACTGTAGTCACTATAACCCCTGGATCGCATTCTTCCAAAACGCTGGCTACATATAAATGTTGCTCGAAGAATGGTGACTGGTTTCGTAATTCTCTGCGAACCCTTTTTGCGATATCGGTATCATTAAATTCTTGGTGGTGGTATACAATTTTTAAACGATGTTCTGAATTCATGACTCTGACATCCTCACAGTGGGTTGTGAATAAGATTGAAACCTTCCAAAGTGGTTCCACAATACAGACATCTTTACTCGCTACTAAATCGCCTTGGCTATGCTCGATCACAAACCTATCATCACTTACATAGTGAAATTTAACCTTACAATACGTGCTTATGGTGTTGGGTAAAAACGCTTTTATAGAGTTAACAAATTGAGACTCCCTCAAACATATTTTCCGCCACTTTCCGACGGTTGGTATAGCAAAAGAAGCATACGTTTCTGATACCCATTGCTTAGCCTCCGTTATTTTATCCTTCACACTGCGGTGTACATGGCTAAATACGGAATCTAGAGCGTTTCTTTTAGGTCTTATGCTACGTTTCTCCCTACTGAACTCATCGAGGTATTCATAGTCTTCCTCGCTATGATCTGTGCAATCTTTTCCGATGATAAATATTCGCAGTGGAAGACTGTAATAGTCGATATCTCGTAAGCGGTTCGATGTTGAGTCTATGTGTACGGTAAATAAATTTGGGTAGTATAAACCGTCACATTGCAGGCCTTCTATGAGCGATATTTGACCATTTCTAGGATCCACTTTCAGGAGTGACTCCACAAACGGCGCCGATCTTTTGGTGTTGATTTTGTAGAATCTGTCCGATCCAAGTCGCCATACCGATGCGTTAAAAATCACATCGCCTGGTTGTTGTGTGTTGTCGACTAGCAGCAGATAGCCGCTCGAAAAATCCAAACAAAAGCAAAAAAATAATAAAAACAGCGGCGGGTATATCCGTTCAATCATTAGAGCGGACTTTTTCACCATCTTCGTATGCTAAAAACATTATTGAGATCTTGATTCTGCTTCGTTGTTATTCTGCAACAAAATAAAAATATATTAGATAAAATTCGTAAAGTTATATAAGGAAAGTTATCAAATTGGGTTTGCAATTTATTTTGTAAATTCGGCCAAAGGTTGAGAATATTCAGCAAATATGTGTTCAGGTAATGGAAGCCTCAGGGGCTCTTAACTGAAACGTATTTCAATCTAGGGCCGGATTTAGCGAGCTTGGCGCTTAGGGCATTATTTTATTTAAGTTTTACTACAAACTATTGCAATAGTTTGCCGTGCATGCACAACATGTATTTTATGATTTTATATTTCTTATTTTATTCTATAAGGGTTTTTAAGATTTTTTATGATATAATAGTATCAAAATACATTTTCACTATTTTTTCAAATAAGTGTCATAGGGAAACAACATAAAAACAACATAAAAAATAGCGACATACTTTCACCAGTAGACATTTACGTTACATTTAAATTATTGACAAGTGTTATTAATCACCTGAAAATAAAATGAAATATATCAACAATTTTGTGACGTAATGCTAAAATTGCCAATTAGCAATCTTAACAGGTCTTATCCATTGAAAATCAAATTGCATAAAGTATATTTTTGTAGGAAAAATCAAACAAGTGTAAAACATTATGTTAACAAGCTGCAGAATTAATTAAAAGTGTGTAGAAGGCTGTTTTGTCAAGTACTTTTAAAGGTTTTAATTAGGTAGGAACTAATTAAAAAACAAAGTTAAAAAGCGTAAAGAGTATGTATGTTACATGTTTCAATCGGGATTTGGACGAATTCGAATATTTTACATAAACGTTTGTCCAAGAAATAACGGAAAATTGTAACAAAATCGGTGGAAAATAAATTTTTCAAGTTATTTTCATTTAAGTTGAATTACTTTTGCGATCGCGTCGTTTTTACTATGGATGAAATTTTGTGTTTCCAACTGTATTTAGTAAATTTTTTAAATGCGTTGTAAATTGCAGAATGCATTTAGCAATAATTATATGGCGAAAACTCGAAAGATTTTAAAACAGAAGCGCACAGTTGTTCAAGACATGCTGTTCTAGCCGGCAACTCACATTGTCTAATCAAGACTACTTCTACGAGCCCTGTCCAGTTTTAGTTCCCCCACACACAAAATTTGTAGTGTTGTTAACATTTCCTGCTCAAGGAATAAAACTAGCCGCTACAATTAAAGACAAAATAAGCTATTTAGAGGAACTTATCAAATGTGTATCAAACTTGATAATTATAGACCAAAGTGAAAACTTATAAAACCTCGTCACTGTTTTGTTACAGATGTGTTCTTTACCAGGCTGTTTGACCATGAAATACCTCTTCTAAAATAGGTTTCCAGCAGTCCTGACCTTTCGCACATAGAGACTTTGTGGCATGTGATAAAAAAGCGGTTGCTGCCAGGATTGTGCAAGAACTCAAGCAAAGGCTCCAGAACATTTAGGATAATTTTACTTCAAAGAACTGTCAGGATCTAGCAGATACTTTGCCAAGAAAAATGAAAGCAGTTATCAAAAATAAAGGTAATGTTACTCAGTGGTAGAATGATTTATCTATATTTTAGAGCTGCCAGTTTCAACTGTTATAAGTGTATAATATTGTGCAATATATTTTCAAAATAAAATTTGGTAATCAATTGATTGAGCTTTAAAGCTCTATTGGTTTAAATAATGTTTAACTGAAGAAAATTGTGATTGAAAATGAGTTATTTAAATGTACGGCGTACAGCGATAATGAGTAGGAATTTTCGTTTTTTGAAACAAATATTTATTTATTGGTCTACATTAATGTTGTTGCCTTCAAAATAGTCCCCATTGGATATTATGCACATGTGCCAGCTCTTCTTCCAATACTCGAAACAGTTCTAAAACTTGATCTTTGGGATAGCCTTTAGTTCTTTCAGCGATGCGCTTTTAATGTCATCTATGCTTGCAAAACGACGGCCCTTTAAGGTTCTCTTTATTTTTGGGAATAGGAAAAAGTCAGACAGAGGCATGTCTGGCGAATATGGAGGCTGGTATTGTTTTTGGCCAAAAATTTTGTTCAAAATTTAACAATTTTAGAAAAAATTTTGCTGCCACGCGTTTCATACCCAAAACATTCGAAAACATTTCATGGGATGAGCCAATCGATATACCAACATCATCAGCGACTTCTCTGATGGTTTATAACCATTTCATCCACTTTTTCCATGTTTTTATCGGTTGTTAATGTACGTTCGGGGCGTTCGTCATCTTTAACGTCTTCACGGCCATCTTGGAAACTCTTATACCTCTTGTAAACTCTTGTTTTACTTATAGCAGACTCACTATAGGCCTTTTCATTCATTTCTCAGAATTTATTTCATTTTTTAAGCAAAATTGGATACAAATTCTTTGATCTATTTCTTTTAATGAACGAAAAATCGCCGAGCTCATAAAACACGTTAACCTTAGCGGCTGCCACAGAAAAAGTAAACATTGAAAACAGCTAAAGTTTTTATCATACTTCGGGGGCATGTGTACCAACATAATAAAGAAATTTTATGACAACCGGACCCTCTGAACCCCCGAAATTTAACAATTCCCGTTATTTTCTAAACACACCTCGTACTTTTTTTCTAAATGGATTTGTAAATAAACACAATTGTGGGTACTGGTACCATGAAAATCAAATCTTACTCAGTATCCTATTAATTATTATCCCCTATTAATGTATGGCCTGGTATTCTTGGCAATGAAATAATCGGACCGCTTTTTATCAAACAAAACTTGAATGTAGTCCATGGACAATTATATTTTGATCTTCTTAAAAATGTTATAGAACCACTTATTACCCAGTCATTAGAAAATCAGATGGACGAACAAGGAAGCATGTTGCTTGATGAGGGAAATTTGTACTTTCAACTGAAGCTTCTTCTTACTATGGTTTAACAGTCAGAGAATGTTTGAACCTAAGGTTTTCCGAAAAATGGGCTGGTAAAAGAGGTTCCGTAAAACGGGGTTACTTTGCACTTTGATGGGTAACTTTGCACCAGTTTTATTAAATTAAAACCAATATTAAAAGGGGTTTATTTTAAAAAAAGATTCCAAAAACAAAACCTTAAAATGAATAAAATTTACAAATTATTATTATATATATTATTATATTTATATATACTTTTACAGCAGTGGTGCAAAGTTACCCATCAAAGTGCAAAGTAACCCCGTTTTACGGTTCTCGAGAATGACCGGCAAGATCTCCAGATTTAACGCCAATTAATTTTTTCTTTGGGGCCAATTAAAAACACCATACAAAACACCACCTGAGAACTTTCAAGAACTCAAACAATAAATAATTGAAGAATGTAACCAGATAACCCCTAAAACTTTTTAAAAACTTCGACAAGAGTTTAAGAACAGATTGTATTATTGTTTAGCAAAGAACGGAGCACAATTAATTAAACATTTAAAATATTTTCTTTTATGGAATTCTCGTTATATTAAGCAAATAAAAGGTAAAACTGAATTTAAAAAACGGCTTAAAATTTATTTATTAAATAATTTTAATGAAATTATCTTAAATTAACCCGAAAAACCTCCCCACCAGATATAATTGTAGTTTCAAGACACTTCCCCCCTCATTCAGATTTGTGTATTTTTTATGTGTGAAATTCTCAATCAAAATGATATAAATTTATAAATATTGTATTAGTTAATTAGGACTCCGCACACAAGCGAAAGCTTAGGCGGGTCACCATCTTTTGTAAAAAAATTAAAATGTATAATTATCTAAATAAATTGAATTGAATTGAATTGAATTGAATTTATATCACACCTTTTTTGGCTCTCCGTGATCGGATTTCAATTTTCAAAGTTCAATGGATCAGAAATTGAATTTTAAAATGATATGTCGCAATTTTTTTAGTAAGGGTAACTGGTGGTGAGAGGTGCAACATTAAATTTATTTGACACTCAAAAGTTATTAAGGGTGGTTAGTTTTTAATTGAAATCCATGCATATAATGTCTCTTATGAAGATTTTTTTAAAAGCGATAAAATAAATGATGATGAATAAACCAACCATTTGTGTTTTATTTAAAATTTTCCGGTACATTTGGAACAGAAATTAGTTTGCATTTTGCATTTAGATCTGGTTATGCTATTATTTTACAAATTTAAGAATCGATAACAATCAAAATTAATCTACTTTTATTCATAGGGGAAAATCTCATAAATGTGATTTCTGAATCATCAAAGGCTAAATTAATTTTTTTGTTAACAAGCGGAAACAATAATGGTTTTTAAATTGAAAATATTGGAGAAGGGAATTTGCGATAATGACTTAAAATTCCTGCGGAACTTAATTCCCGCGACTCCTGCAGCAGCTTAATCCTGCAAATGATTGGAATTCTCCGGTACGCCTTTAAGAAATACGAAGTAGGTCATAAATAAATTTACTCGCCATCTTTTGTACTATTCGCATTAATAAAATGAAAAATACTAGGAATTTCACATGAATTTCATTTCGGAAATAAAGTTTTAAGTGCCAATTAACAGATTAACAATACGTAAAATAAAAGCTTAGTTTTAGTTTCCTACTAGTTAGCTGGAGCTAGATCTCATCATTATTCCTGCTTTAATTTTCAATTTTTGTCTACTTCTTTAATAAAGTTGTATGTATTTTCATGCATATTTTAATCCGTAATATAAAACTTGACATATTAATTAAGGTGGATGAATACGGTATGTTATAATTTTCACTTTTTTATCGTGCAATAAACTTTTAATACAAAGATTAAAGATCAAATTAAATTCTTCTTTAATTAAACTTAAATCTTTTAAGTTCTCATGCATAACGCAGTTAAAAAAGTAATTTTAAAGTTGCAGAAAAACTTTAATGCCTTACGAAATAAGGTAATTATATCCTTAAAATTCCATGCCATTGGTCAGGCAATATAACTGTTCTTGTTGGGTTAGAGTTACTAACTAACAATCCTCTATTAAAACTAATTAATAATCACCAATCGGATTTAGATGAATAGAAACCGG